TATAGGATAACTAGCTCTCCTCAGTCACATGCAGATCACAGGACCACAGGCTGGGCATCTGTAGGAGCTTTGGACCAGGAAACCAAATATGTTTCACAGCAACATGTGACAATGGTGAGAGGCAGCTGTCACCCAGTATTGATGTATTGCTGTCAATTACCCATCTCCTGTGTCCCTGCCTGTCCTTCTGTGGCCCCAAGGCTCATCCAGGATCCCACATGACCTGCATCCTGCCTCCAAAGGCTCTTCTGGGCTAGAGCAATTTCTCACTGTCTCTGCCGCAACCATGAGATCTGAGGTGGCTGCTCGGGTGTCCTGTGGAGGGCCCTGAGCTGGGAAATGTCCCTTTTATTTTATTTTATTTTTTTCAGTGTTAGATGGGAGTCATTGGTTATGGAAGAAGACAGCCCTCTCCTAACCTCCCATACAGGTCCCCACCATCCACATGACTTGTCCCTGGGTGTCATGGCTGGGCTGCCAGCAAGGCCTCCACTACACAGAGCCTCTCTCTCTTTTCAGGAAGAAGAGGCTCTGGCTGTGCATGCTGAGATCTGCCCCACCTTCAGGAGAAGGAGGGTGGAGCCTTGGGATGGGTTTGCTGGGATTCTTCTGGATTGGTCATTTGCTCTATTCTTCCTCACTCACTGATATAGTTTATCCTTTACCTTATTGGAATGAATTCACTATGGGGGTGGGGCAGTGCCACAGCACAAGTATGGAGGTGCTGTCAGGGGACAACTTGCAGAAGTCCATTCCCCTTCTAGTGTGCAGCACCCAGAATTGAGCTCAGCTTGTTAGAATGGCGGTAGGTATGCTTGCTTTTTTTTTTAATCTAACACTATTACACTATTCAAAATATTCAGCTTTGGCCATTGAATTTTTTTTTTTTTTTGCATAGAACCGTTTTTAGTCAGCTCACTCATTAGATGAAGGAAGAAGCAACAAAGAGGAAGTAATATTCCAGCAATAAGTGCCCTGTTGTGGATGCATTTGCACACAGCGGGGCAGGGGGAGAGAGAGAAATAAATAAATACACACTGGGCCATATACACAATACAGAGAGAGACACGCATTAATACAAATACACAACGTACAAACATACACATATACAGAGACACACATACAAAGACAAACTAACCCACAACATACAAAACCACACACACAGATATACACAAACATACATAACACATATACAAACACACACACAAATGTACACACGGATACACATAGATATACACAGCACACACAGGAAGCACATAAATGTACACACACAAGCACACATCCATACAAACACACATGGAGACACACAAATACATACATAGACAGACAGACACACACACACACACACACACACACACACACACACACAACATCTTGGAGATCTGGGCAGCCAGCAATGGGCCTGGCCTCAGGACAGGGTCTAGCACAGGACCAAAATGGATCGATCCCTGAGCCATCTCTTTGAAGCCGAGCATGCAGCTTTGGGCCTCTTCCTGACTGTAGAAGGCCAGTACTGCCCTCTACTGGGAGTGGGTCATACTGCAGGGTGCCCTAAGAGAGGCAGTAGGCTTGACAGTAGCTTCCTCTGACATACCCCTTCCTGGTAGAGAGAGAGAGTCACAGCAGAAGGTGTGTACCCAAAGGGTATGCTGCCAGGTGGTCCTGCAACACATGGCTCCCTGGCCCTGCTAGTGGACTCAGGGAAGAGAAAGTAGTCACTGGTATCGGGGGGACTGGTTTGTCCCCACCACTTTGAGAAGACAAAGTAAGGCCACCTGAGCAAAGCACCCAGCTCCGCTCTTTTCTCCTAGGCACCGAGTAACCAGGGGACAGACTCTAGGTGGTTCCAGGCCTATCTTGGACCTTGGCAGCTGCCTCGCTCTCCCTCCCGTGCAGGTGGAGAAAGGTATTGAGGAATGAGTAAAACTAGGTGGCAAGCAAACGGAAGACTCTGTTGCAGGTGGCCTGCACACTGGAAGCTTAGGTCACCTCTGAGGCTGCTCTGCATGGGCCTTGGACTCTACCTTGCGTGATGCCACCCCTCACCTACCTTACAGTCTCAAGACAGGGTCTCTGGAAGATGACAGCTACAGGGGAATCATCTGAGGATCTGGAAAGAGTCCCTTGGAAGAGAGAAAGAAGAGGTGACTGTAACAATAGGCTCCCACTGAGTGGGTAGCCACTTGGCCATCTTCCTAGCACCAACACTGGTAGCCAGTACAGAGCCCTGTTCCACTGGCTTCTAGAAGGCCCAGGGGTCACTCCCTCAGTTACCTGTTTTTCCTACCAAGGTGCCCCCTGACCAGGAGGACCCCATATTCCAGGATGTGAAAGGAGAGCCATGCAGTCCTTGCTGGAGTACCCAGAAGTCGCCTCGGGTGTTTACAAAGGCCCAGACTTAACCAGATTTTATGGGAGCCACTCATGTTATGACCAGATACACCATGGCCTCAAAAGTCCACTTAGCATGGCCCACATGTGTTTGAATTTGCAGTACTGTGCTATCCATGGCTTACGTCATTCTGTGTTATTGTAGATGATGTTTTAACAAAGATTCCTGTGGGTGTGTATGAGGCACAGGCCCTCCTGTGAGGCCCTGATCTTTGAAATAAGAAAACAGTTGTTCTCCTTTCAAAAAGTGACTGGTAGCCACTTCCTAAATATAACCCCAGTAGCACAGACACTGAGAGAAACAATTAATAAATGGGACCTCCTGAAACTGAGAAGCTTCTGTAAAGTAAAAGACACGGTCAACAAGACAAAACGACAGTCTACAGAATGGGAAAAGCTCATCACCAATCCCACATCAGATAGAGGGCTGATCTCCAAAATATACAAAGAACTCAAGAAACTTGACATCAACAGAACAAATAATCCAATAAAGAATGGTGTACAGACCTAAACTGAAGGACACTTAAGGAAATGCCCAGCATCATTGGCCATCAGAAAAATGCAAATCAAAACAACCCTGAGATTCCATCTTATACCTGTCAGAGTGGCCAAGATCAGAAACACTGATGACAGCTTACACTGGAGGGGATGTGGGGTAAGGGGAACACTCTTGCATTGCTTGTGGAAGTGCAAAATTGTATAGCCACTTTGGAAATCAGTATGGTGATTTCCCAGAAAATTAGGACACAATCTACCTCAAGACCCAGCAATACCACTGCTGGGCATCTACCCAAAAGATGCTCAATCATACCACAAGGACATGTGCTCAACTATGTTCACAGCTGAATTAGTTGTAATTGCCAGAACATGGAAACAACCTAAATGCCCCTCAACTGAAGACCAGATAAAGAAAATGTGGTACATTTACACATGGTGTACTACACAGCGATAAAAAACAATGACATCTTAAAATTTGCAGGCAAATGGATGGATCTAGAAAAATCCATATTGAGTGAGGTAACCCAGACCCAAGAAGATAAATACAGTATATATTTACTCATAAGTGACTTTTAGACATAAGCAAGAAGAAAAACCAAACTATAGGTCATAATCCTATAGAAACTAGACGACAAAGAGGACCATAAAAGAAATATGCATAGATCTACATAGAAAGGTGAAAAAGACAAGATCTCCTGAGGAAATTGGGAGCATAGAAAGGAAGAGAGGAGGAAAAGAGGGGAGTGGAGAAAAATGTATAGCTCAATAAAAATAATTTTTTTAAAAGGTAAAAAAATAGTATAGACAAAAGTCATAAATTTGAGATGCATTCGGGGTACAGGAAGAGCGGCAGGACTCGTGGGAAGGGTAAAATGATGTAAATACAATACACAGGCATGAAATTCTCAGAAACTAAAAATATATAAATAAAATAAAAGACGAAAAAGTGACTGGCAGCATCTTGAATAGTTCTTTATTTTTGTGTATTTATTTATGTGTGTGTTCCTGGGGTGGGGTGAGGTGGAGGCATGTGAAGGCCAGAGGTGAACCTCAGGTGTCCTTCCTCAGCAGCCAGTCAACTTGTTTATTGAGACAGGGTCTTTCACTGGCACGGGAGTCACCAGATAGGCTAGGCTGGCTGGCCAGTGAATCCCAGGAATCCTCCTGCTTCAGCTGGAATTACAAGTATGCCCTCGCTTAAGGCCTGGCTTCTTTAACATAGATTCTGAGGAACTCTCAAGTCTTCACGCTTGACAGGCAAACACTTTACCAACTAAGCCATCTTCCCACCCTATTTATTTCTGAGATAGGGTCTTACTATGTGGGTTAGGCTAGCCTCTAACTTGTTATAATTCTCCTGCCTCAGCCTCCTAGGTGCTGGTTGTGAGAAACATGTTTTGCTTTCTATCAGAGATGGCTAGCCCACCAAACGCCAATACCTATAAACTTGCCTCATCTTGAAACTCCAATGTATGCACCATGTCTGCTTGCCCAGCCCCTGGACATTCCTGAGAGCCCACTCTATCACAACCTTCCCCTCTGTGCTGATTATGAACTGGCCAATAGCATCAGGTCCTGAGATAGTCACCACCTGCAGGAGTCCGTTTGAGGATTAACACCAGGAGGACTTTGGGACACAGGGTCTCTAAAGCATACACTAAGGGTCCTAGTGTAGCTGGGCAGGTTAGTACACTCTTATAACCAATGCCAGACATTGGGCTCTTCTCTTACTGCTCCTCTCAAGACTCCACCCCCTCCCCCATGCTGCAGGGTGGCTCAACCCATCCACTGGGAAGCCTCAAGTACCTACCAAAGCCCAGTTGTCTTGGGCCAGGCCAGGGCAGCTGCAGGTATAGAAACTGCCCCTCTTCCGGCCTGTCTTTCTTCCTTCCCCAAACCCAGTCACTATGTTAGAAGGGCTGTTGACAGATGGGAGGGCACAGCCTACCTACTGGGTCAGCTGTGGTCTGAGGTTCCCCACCCAGTGGGGAACCACAGAAGGGAGGGGAGAGGAGGAAGGGAGGAAAGAGGAGGTGGAGGGAGGGGAGGGGAGAAGAAGAGAGAGGAGAGGAGAGGAGAGGAGAGGAGAGGAGAGGAGAGGAGAGGAGACCATGGAGCACTGGAATCGAATCAAGATTGCCAAATGCCAGATACTGATCACCAACTTCTTTGTCTTGGTAACATGCAAGTGGAACAGAAGGAGTGGGTGGGCAGGTGGGCAGTGGGGCAGTAGGGGAAATAATTCACCATGCCCGGGTTCCTCCAGCACTGTGGTCTCCCCTCCCTTGACACCACAGTTGCGCAGACTGGGTCTGGGTCTCTGGTGGCCACCCTTAGAGGACTGTGTATACACGTCCTTGTAGCTGTCACCCAAGGGGCAGTGAAGAGCCTGGGAGAACCCAGGTTGGCTGGTGATTTGGAGTGTGCAGGGACAGCCAGGAAGGGGTGCTGCCTGGGATCCGGGAGAGGACAGGGATGCAGGGTCTCTGCAGACAGTTTGATGTGATCTTCTGGGTCCCTAGAGAAAATGGGCACGAGTATATGTGTTGCATACTTATCTGTATGTGATAGCCCGTCTGTGGAGGGCCCGTCCCTCCCATCCACAGAAACATGTAGGCCTCCCGCAGATGCCTTGCGCCTGGAGGGAGCCAGCTTGGGGCGCCCAGAAGCCCAGGCCCCACACTCTGTCACTGTGGGAGGGCTTTTGCATCTATGCACACCTCACTTTCAGCTGCTGGGTCTCTCTACGGCCACCATGGCAGTGGTCATTCACTTTGGAAACCGCTTTACTGTCATTCGTCAAGTAGCCCTGGAGAGGAACCCCTATGAAGGAATGCACTATTGGGGTAAGTACAGCCAGAAATGGCTGTGGAGCGGGAGGTGGGAGGGCCCCAGGGTCAGAAGCACCTGGGAGGAGTGACCAAGCCCCAGACAGTCCTGACTCCCTGGCCCTAGGCTTTGGGCAGAGTCAGAGGTCGGGGCAGGGAGGAGATGCCCTAGTGTCCTGGTTTTACTAATAAAAGTGGGGAGATTTAGGCAACATCAGGCATTCCTGCCCTGGTTCTCCTACCACACAGGACAGTTCAAACTGTGCCAGACCCCAGATCTGTGCTTTCAGGGCAGGGATCAGATGGCCTATGGGACTCGGTAGTGAATACCATATTCAAAGGGCAGAAAATGCCTAGCTAGGGCCAAGTCTGCCAGAGTGCCCCACCTCCACAAAAGCAAGGCTTTAGTGAGGGGGGGTGTTCCTGATAGGAATGCAAAGAACCTAGGAGGGTAGGAAAGGGTAAGAGAAATTGAGGCCCCTGAATGGGGGGTTGTCAGCCCCAGTTCCTAGGCCCCCTGCTTTCCAAGGTGCTAGGCCCCGCCCACGCAGGAAGCCTGGGGCCTGGGCCTGGGCTGATAAGGTCACAGCCCCACACTGCCACCTGTCACTAGAGCATGGGGATGTGGCTTCAAGATAGTCTGTGAGGCAGGGAAGGCAGTAGAAATGGGGGAAAGAATATGGTCCCTAGCTTGTTCCCTGATCTTCCCCCTTCCTTCCCAGTCTTGGGAGGAAACAGGCTATCAGGCTATGAGACACCCCTTCTTTTTGGGCCAGAGATATGTGCCTTTTGGGACCTCCCTAGAAGTTTAGTCCTAGTTCTGTGACACCCGCCCCCCCCCCCAAAAAAAGTAGATTTCGGATCCAACCTCCGTGCCCAGTCCTCATGCTGGGTCCCTAACCCTCTGCCTCTCCCGTTCCACAGCCTTCTACTTGGGGATCAGCCTAGCAGGTCTACTGAGCCTGGGCGCTGTCCTGAGCACGATAGCCACAGTGAGGGAGGCCCATGGCCTCATGGCTGCGGTAAGTTCTGTGGTCGGCCAGATGACCTCAGCTTCCAACAGGGACAAGAGCTGGAGAGAAAAAAGCCAGGGAATTGCCTGACCTCAGTCAAAGTACCCTAAAAGGAGGACAGGTCAGGGACTATGCACCAGTGAGTCTCTCTACCTACACAGTTAGGGCCTTCCACTTGGCCAGACAGGACTCTCCCACCTAGGCTGTCACTTAGTCCCCACAGGGCTCTATGCTACTCTGCCTTCCCCAGATCTAACAATGGTTCTACAGCACCCCTGAGAGAGAGTTGGTACTCTCAGCCCTGGGGCCATCTCCAAAGACCTTGGGAGGGCCTGGTTCTGATGTCTAGCTAGGTCTGGACACAGGACCTGGTTCTGATGTCTAGCCAGGTCTGGACACAGGACTGGATGAATTTCAATTCTCATTAGAAGACCAACCAGGGACAAGGAAATCCTGTTCCTGCAGCCTGGGCTTTCTTCTCACACTATCCCTGCCTAGCCGCTGACAGGAAGTTTCACAACCCCATAGAAGAAAGCCCTTGTTGCTGCTGTAACTGTTTCTCCATATGGGTGTCCTAGTGTGCCCCTACAGCCCTCAATAGTTAATCCAGGTTCTGTCTGTCAGGACCCTCTCCATGGCCACCCAGTCCCCGTTTGACCCAGGCTTTCCCAGTTACCCGAACTGAGGCAGCTCCTTCCTGATGCCCTGGTCTCTTACCTGCCCCACTCCATTCCAGGCATAAGATCTCATTTCCCTTCTCCATCCATCCTTGTGCCCCTGTTTGTAGACTCCCAACCTCTGCCTATGAGTGACTGGGGGAATCCAAGAACCCTCAGGAACCTGAGCTGGAGGCTATGCTTCCTAGATAGACCGAAACTAAACTTGGCAACCTTGTCTTCATGTTCAGTGTATTTGCTGATGACCCTTGGTCTCCAAAGACAGTGACAGAGTCACCACCTTCCCAAGCTCCTCCCTGTCCTGCTTGGCAACTTGATCTGTGGACATAAGATTCCAGGAGCTTTAGAACCCACCCAGGCCTCCCAAGTCCTCAATCCCTCAATTCCACCATCCCTGACAGACTCAGGGCCTGGTGCAGTACTGTTATAGGGACAAAGTCACCCCCTAGCTAGAGCTGCTTCAGGGACCAGCCATAACTGGGTGGTGGACTAGGCAGAACCTGGCAGCTTTAGCCTCCCCGGGATTCTTGCTCTGATGATACAGGGGCAGGGATAGTGCTGGTCGTGAATAAACACTAAACAAAAATTAGCCTGGATTTGCCTCCCAGAGGGAGGCCCTAGCGAAGAGGTCACAGAACTGGTGGACTGTGACCCCAGAGGATTTGTGTCTTGCTGGAAGAAAGCATGGAGGAAAGACAAGATGGAGGCAGGGGTATGCCGGAGACAGGCCGAGAGGCCTGCGCCTGGATATAACTTCAGCCACCAGGGGGCACCATAGTCAGCATGAAGACTGTAAAGCGGGAGGCGGGAGGCAGGTGGGCCAAGGGGCCCAGCTCTGGATCAGCTCATTCCACTCAGCATTCCCAAGCTCCTCCCATGTCCTGCTTGGCATCTGATCCGTGGGCAAAGGATTCCAGGAGCATTAGAACCTACCCAGGCCTTCCAAGTTCTCATCCCTAACAGACTCAGGGCCTGGTGTGGTTATACGTGTTTCAGCTAAAAGACAACATTCAGATTCCTTCTGTTCAGAGTTGTATTCTCAAGGTCACTCCAGGCCCAGTGCTCTGCACTTTGCTGAATCCCTAGCACCCTCTACCCCAGCATAGACAGTAAGCCCAGTTCAGTCACCACAGGGTCCCTGGGAGCTCCACTGGTCACAGGGCCTTAGTGTCATGTTTATACTTGTGCCTGTGTGCACGGTGGGCACCGTCTGCCTCTTCCTGCCCGGCAGCTGCCTGTGTACTGTCACTGGCCTGCATACTGGATGGAGCACGTGTAAAGCACATATAAAAGGGTCTAGGGAGGGGAAACATCCCCCTTCGTGACTCTGTGCCCACTGCCCCCCTCCATGCTCTTTCCTGCCCCGCCTTCTGAAACACAGGAAATGAAGGAGCTAGCTAGCGGCAGGAAGCAGATTCAAGTTGTTTACAAGTTTATTTATTCATTTATTTTCATTTTGAACGAATAGAGAGAAAAATGGCGACAGTTAGGCCTGGCCCAACCTCTCTCAGCACTAAGCAGATCTTAAGACCCTTTCTACATACACACACAGAGAGGGTGTGTGAGAGAGAGAAACAGAGAGACTAAAAACCAAAAAAGACAGAGGGAGGAGGGAGGGAGAGGGAGAAACTCCCTCTTGACGATGAAATGGTTGAAATGGTTTCTGGAAAGGGCTGGACTCTGCAGCTGGCTCACAGCCTCAGCTGGGAGGCAGAGTTGAGGAATGGCTTCCAGACAGGGAAAGTCAGCCCTTGACTGCCAGCAAGAGGAAAGAACAGAGAGGAGGAGAAGGAGGGAAGAAAATGTGGAGGAGAGAGAACAAGAAGGCAGCAGGAGGAAGGAGGGGGAGGAAGGGCTAAAGGCAAAGATAGGAGCAGCAGCAGCAGGCAAGCCAGGGCCAACTCCAAGATAGTGATGCAGGCTCCAGGTCGGGCAGGAGAAAGCAGGGAAAGGGGGCACCCCACCACTGCAGAGCTCACACCCACCCAAGTGTGAGGGGGCAGTGCAGATGCCCCCAGCTCTTTTCACACACTTGGGAGAGCTAAGCTGCCCCTGGCATAGACTGTTTGTTCCTGTCCTCCTGGCCTATGACTGTAGGCTGCTCTGCACACTGGCCACTTTTCCCAGAGTGAGGCCACGGCTACTCATACTCATGCCAGTGACACTTGGGAGTGAGGTGGTGGTTGATCCAGAAGGCTCCATGGTCACCCGGGACCTCTGTGTACTGGGAGGATCTATGTGCATGGCACTGGTGCTGACAAGAGCACAGGCAGCGGCTCCGAGGTCACCCAGATGGGAGGTCACTAGATGGGACTTTGGTGGGTGCTATTGAGGAACAGGGTTCTTAGTACAGAGTGACCCTGTGAAACTAGTCACAGAAGGGCAGGGACTTGTGCCAGTACCTGTATCAGGGGAGAGATGGGCACTGCCCTCTAGTTCTGTAAGGAAGTCAGCAGTTGTACCCCGACTAAAGCCAAGAAGGAAAGTGTGGAGTATGTAAAGAAGTCCCTTTTTAGCACTTGGGGTGAGGGGTAGGAATGGGATGACCACAGGGACCCACACTGGTGTAGAGGAAGGGTAGGAAACTCATGAGGAAAGGAAGGTCACAGTCTGGGGTGCCAAACCTATGCCCGGGGTTGTGGCCTGTGGTTCTCTATGAGTCAGGCTGTAGAGGTTAGGGTTTCCTTGGAAACGGGTTTCAGAAACGAAACAACAAAGGGCCCACAGAAGGCGCCCTGTATGAGGGGGCCATTACCTACCTTCAAGGGAGACGTTTCTGGCTGGGGATGTGGGTCAGTTGATCGAGCGCTTGCCTAGCACATATGACAGCCTTGGCTGAGATACTACACTGACTAAAACATCGCGGTTGCGTACCCCTGTAATCAGCGCTGAGGAACTGGAGGGTCATGAGCTCAAAGCCAGCCTGGGCTACCTCCATGAGCGTCCACCTCAAAGGAGAGGATGGCAGTTAGGTGAATAGGGCTGGGGCAAAGGCTCAGCAGTTACAAGAGCTGCCTGCTCTTCCAGAGGATCCAAGTTCAGTTCCCAGAAACCACAAAGAACTACTTGTGGCCCCTGTTCCAGAAGATCCGATACCTTCATCTGGTCTCCCCATATATGTGGAATAAAATACATAAATATAATTTTGTTTAAATCTAAAAAAAAGTCTAAAGGGCAGGGGTAGAGGGTTCTGATGCCAAAATTTCAGATCTGGGGAGGCACTGCCTGGCCCTCCTGGGGTCACTATTCCTCCTAGAAGTAGCTGTAGTGAGCTAGGGCCTCTACCATATTGGAAAGGCCTACCATTCCTAAGGAAGTATGTGCCACCTTAGGTCCCAGGTCCTCCAGAGGCACAGAGGAATCCCCAAAAGAGCCTCCCCCAAGCAGTAGTTAATGGAGCGCAAGTCAGTAGCTCAGCCCAGGCCCCTTGGGGAAGCTACCTACCTACCTGGTACCCCCGCCCTACCTCCCCAGGCCACATACCTGGCTGTACAGTGACCAGGCCATCTCTGTCCCCAGGGTTTCCTGTGCTTTGCCCTGTCATTCTGTGTCCTGGTGCAGGTGGCATTCTGGAGATTCCACAACCCCACCCAGGTGAGTGCAGCCAGGACCCACTACCTGGACCAGCCTGGTTCTTTGCCCAGAGTTTCTGTTTTACCCTTACTCCCTACCCAAGGAGACCCCCAAAATGCTCACGCCAATCCTGATATTAAATGAAAAAAATATTTTTCTATGGTCCAGAAGACCTGGAAGAGGGCCGAACCCCAACAACAGCTTGAGAGCATGGGTGTCCAGACTTCTGCCTGAGGCAGCCGGGCCAAGCAGCATTTGGGCAGAACCTTCCCTGTCCACTGACGGGTGGTCTGGATGGCTGGTCACAGCGTGGGTGGCCTCAGTCAAGACAGCTGCCAGGTATCAGGGGCTGACCTCGGGTTAGCCTGCAGCAGCTGCAGCCCATCTCCCTGTTCTAAAACTGTTTATATTCTAAGCCCTAAACTCGGGGTGCAGAACAGGCAGAGGCCTTGCAGGAACCAGAGGGCAGGCAGCAACTAGGGTTTAATCTACAGAAGGGAAAGGGCTTCTTACTCCAGTCCTCTTAAGACTGGCCGCTAGGGCAATTCTCCAAGGCCTGCCTGACCGTGGTGGACTAGGGTTATTCCTGGACCCTGGCCTGCTGGATTTCTAACTTCCAACATAGCCCTGAGACCTGGTGAGCTACCTGGAGGTAGCCTCGGTGAAAGTACCCTAGGTTTAAAATCAAGGGTGGCAGGCCAGTCCTTTGTCCTCCCTGGGCCTCTGTGTCTGCTTCTGTAAATGGAGAGTAGAAAGCCCTGCTGCAGAGCTACTGCATGATGGAGATGAGCCAGCAATGGAGGGGCAGTCCGGATCCTCTGCACTCCCAGGTTGTCTGGAATGTGGACCTAGTTCTGGGTTGTCCTGAGGAATGAGCCATGTGTGGTACCAAGCACAGAGCCACCATCCTCCCATCCTCCCATGTTCTCCCTACCAGCGAACCAATCCAAGCCAAATAGGTCACAGCCTTAGACTTGGTCCTCCTAGCTGCCCCCAGCCCCATGGGTAAGAAAGAATACAGGAATCAACTAGTAATGCTTAGAAGCCACCCCAGCTCCCCAAAACCTCCCTGGAAAGATCCCCAGGACATCCTAAAACAAGGGTCTAGCAAGAAGGTAAGGGCAGACAAGGAGGAGACCTTGACTGTCTCTGTAGACCAGGCTCTGGCCTGAAGTGAGGATAGGGTGCTCCTTCCTGATCCCCCCTCCTCCCAGGACACAGGCCTTGGCAGGCACCCAAGGTTGGTGAGGATAGTGGTGTGGCCCAGCCTGCTATGTACTGAATACAGAGAGATAGGGCTATTCATTACCCTCACTGTGGCTTCAGAGCTGCTCTGCCGCAATCTCCCACTGTCCCCAAGGAGCGGAAAATGAATTGTTTAACTTTCCTTAATAATTCATGTCAAGACCAAGCACAGAACAAACATGTCTATGTAGCTTGGGGACCCAATGCTGGTCCACAAGCCACCTGCAGCTCCACGTGGGGTCCTCCTGGCCATGGCTCTACTACCCTGATCTAACAAACGTGGGGGAAGGGACATCACCAAGCCTGGATAGATATCACAGTGTCCTGGTCTTAGGAAGAAAGATAGGGGGATCCCCTAGACATTGCTCCTCAATCTGCAGTAGCCTGGGCTGCCATGTCCTGCACAGATCCAGGGACTAACCTGACTGAGGCGGCAAGGGAATGAAGAAAGGACAGACACACAGACACACACTGGAAAGCTAGAATCGGGCAGTGAAAGCTGCAGTCTCTTTGCCCCCAACAGCTCAGTGTGTTTATTATCTACAGCTGAATAAGGAGGCGGGGTTATTACAAGCAGATAAACAAGGAGAGTGCGTTTATCACACACAGCTGGACAAGAAGGCGGTTTGAGCTGGTCTCAGTGAGACTCACGGAATGGGACGCTTTGCCAACATCTCATGGATCTGAGGCTTTGGTCTGAGGCTTGACAACAAACACCCACTCAGGACAACACACTTACAAAGGAGACTTGGTACCCCAGAAGCTGCTTGCCAACCCTGCAGACACAGATACTTGCTGGAAGGGACCCTTGGATAAAGGATGTGGAGGCTTGGGAACCTGGCTTAGGAAGCCTCTGGTCTACCTTCCCTATTCCCATGAAAGAACTACAGCCTCAAGTCTCTCACAGAGCAACTTAAATGCCAAAGGGAGTGCAGATGGCAATGCACAAACCCCACCCCCCACCCACTGCCCTAGTGCTGGGCTCTGCAAAGAGTCCAGCCTGGTCTCTAAGGCCCCAGAGTCCGGTTTTGAAGTCTGGGCAGACCTCTGTTGTTCTGCTCATGGTGGGTGGGATGCTGGGCAGAACCAAGCTGAGCTGAGCTCTAGAGCTGATGTCATCTCTATTGTCCTGTAGGAATGACAGTGGACAGAGGGCCCCTGGGCGCTGGGACATCCCTGAAAACTGGCAGGACTGATGAGGGAAATAAAGTCAATTGTGCCAGGGAGTGGTGCAAAAAGGGCTAGTCCAATAGTGCCTACTTGTTTCAGCTACCTGCCCCACCCACGCAGCTCCAGGCATTCCCAGCCCTCCCCAGGATTTGTTCTTTTAAGGACACAGTAAGCCCACAGGCTTGAGGGAGCTGAGCCCATGAGAGGGCTCTGGCCCAGACTAACCAGCAACCAAGGCCAGCTTGGCACCTGCCCTGGGTGGGGGAGGGCTGGGGCAGGCTGAGCTGGGGATGACTCATGGGGATGTCTGGCTCTGTTGCATGGATGGAGAGGGAGAAGTCGGTGCCAGGACCAGCCGTTAGCACGGAGTTCCCCTGACTCCTACAGGGCTCTTGGGCCTGGGCTGGACTTGGTTACAAGAACCTCTGACTACCTGTCTGCCCACTATGGCCTGCAGGCACCTGGTGAGTGAGGCCCATAGTGGAATGGACAATCAGGCTGTGGGACAGACATGCTTCCTCTCTGAAAGGCATGAGTGACCAGGGGAGACATAGGGCTTCAACACCAGTCCAGCCATTCAGGACAACACTCTGTGTGACCTGGCTGCTGGCCTAGCATAAGGCTGGGAGTCAGGAGGACTCAGGGTCTTCAAGGCAGAAAGACGTTGGAGGACATGCCCTGAGCCAGAAGATCAGTGAGTTCCACATATTTGGGATGCCTTCCTGGAAGAGATGAAATTCCAATTTGTCTCTGAAAACATATTCGGCCTGGGGGAGGACATCTTGGGGTAGCAATTGAGCACAGTAGGGAATCAGAGCTAGGACACAGAAGCAAAAAAGTCTAGGCTGTTTTGTGTGTGGAACAGAAGCAGGGCCAGCCTTGGCCCCACCCAGCTTCCTTCTTCCTCTGCTGTGTCCCCCTGGATCTGACTCCAGGTGCCCTTACCTTCCCTGGTCCAAGACTAGAGAGAATCTTTCCAGTATTCTGGGTAGTTCTGAAGAAGGGCCAACAAGAACCTTAGGGAACAGAGGAACTAGTCCAGGCTTCTGTCCATGCTTCTCAGCAGGCTGGGCCTATTGCCTATATCCAGATGAGCAGGATGCTACCCCATGCTACCCAGAACCCACCTCTAAGGGTGGGTAGCTGAGATCTACTGGCCTCTTCTTTAACCCTTGGGAGTTCCAGGGGCAACACGCAAGCCGTAGAATTGCCATGGTAGGAAGAAAGTTCCTGGAAAAGGAGGCCCAGGGTGTGGGCTTCCCTGGGTCTCCCTCAGGCCATTGTTTCCTGGGATGCTTTTGGTGCAGGTGGAGGATGCAGTATTGGACACCTATGACCTCGTGTATGACCAGGCAATGAAGAGCCCATCCAGCAGCTGGTGGCAGGAGCTGGCCACCATCCAGGACACGGTGAGCGAGGGACAGGGTGGTCATACTTGCTGTGCCCCCAGAGAATGGGTGCCAGACATCCTCTAGAGTCAGCCATCCTGGCCAGGCTTCTAGAGAAGATCCCAGGACACAGGTCCCATTGTGGGTAGATGACTGGGATCTCACCCATCCCCCTCTGTCCCTAATAGGACTGGCTACCCAATGTAAGTACAGAATAAAAGGGTAATGTCCTTGTTCAACATGGACTGAAAATTCTAAGAAGGAATTGGGTATTCTTCAAGGAGGTAGGTGTTCAGGCACCAGGCAGGCAGTAGGGCCCTGCTCTACAGGGACGAGGTCCTCAGAGAGCTATGCCGTTCCATCACCAGGGCTAAGGATATTTTTCCAGCAGCAGCTGTAATCCTGATTCCTGGCTCTGGTCTCTTGGGGGCCCCAGTTGCAGAATCGCCTAAGTTGCTTATGCTTTGGTGCCTTAGTTTTTCCATCAGTCAGTCCTGCCCACGCTATGCTCCTCTCTGGTTTGTCTTCCAGTTTCTGTGTTGTGGGAAGAAGTCTCCTTTTGGGTTTCTGGCGAGCACCAGAGCCATCCCATGTCAGGGCCAGGAGGCCATGAGAGAGGTGAGGAGGAGGGGGACGAGAGTTTCTGTACTCAGATCAAATGAAGGTTGGGCACTTCAGGTTCTACCTGTGAAGGGACATCTTCATCCTCTTTGCCCCTTTGGCCTCTCACATTTTGGGATCTGTCCAAAAGTCTCAAGGATGTACCCGCCCCCCGCACACACTGCCCCCCCCCCCATGATAAGTGGCAGGGGGCTAGGAACTTACAAGATGGCTAGCTTGACTTGGCTCAACTCCCTTCTGCAGGCTAGCATTGGGTATGTACCCCGCCCACTCTCCTCCTCCTTCATGAGGCTTCCCCAGGCCATCAAGCTCCTCCCCCACCCTCCCCTCTGAAGCTTCTAGAAGCTCAAAGCTAAGGCTCTATATAATAAGGTGATTGATTTACTATTTAGGAGGAGTAAAAAGGGGTCCCCCAGAAAGAGCAGAAAGTGCCAGGGAAGGGGCAGGGAGGAGCTCTTCTACCCTGAGGACTAGGCCCTGACCCACTCTCCCCCACCCTGGTCCTCTCTCCCTACCCAGCCCCCTCTTTGTTCCATCCCCCTGCTATCCTGGAAACAAACCAGCCCTATCTCATGGGGAGAGATGTCTGGCTACCCTCCAAGAAACAAGAGGGTGGGGAATGGCTCAAGGCCCAGCAGGGAAGGGAGCTGGCCTGATGGGAAGGGGCTGAGAGTCAGGGAGTCCCATCCACCCAAGAACAGTCCTCAGGTCCCAAATCCAAAATAGCTCAGTGCCTGCCTCCTGTTGCAGGGTGGCCAGGGACCACAGATGGGTTACAAAGGACCCCTGGTGGGAGAGAAGCCAAGGCCAGCTCAGGCCAGCAAGGCCAGTTCAGGCCAGCAAGAGGATCACTTACTTGCCAAAAGGCAAGAAAGCCCCCTGTAGGGCTTCACATGGTCCAGGCTATCCCCAACAAAAATGCCAACATCTGAATGTCCCAGAGGTCAACTGTCACCTTCCTATGCCCATAGCAAAGAGACCTGCAGGTCCAGAGTCTCTGCCCCCACCACTAACAGCAGGCCCTGGGAACTAGAGTACTTCCATCCTGGACTGCCTGGAGACAAACAGCAGCCTAGGGAGGAGCTCAGGGCAACTAGAACAGGGCAGTGAGCCACTGCCCCCACAGAGACTGGCGCCATGGCCTCAGTCTCAAGCTTCCTAAAGCCTCTTTCCCAGAGGGTTCAGCAGTTCCCCTGGGGAAGGTACACACCTTGACTGCCCTGGCCTTAGCACTGGCTGAGCAAACCATGCAGCCCCAGGGGCTTCTAGGAGAAAACTGGAATGAGGAGAGCCACACACAGAGTGCAGGGAGGGCAATCAACCATGCATGTTGTCCTCTGTGCAGGACTGCCTACAGAGGATCGGGAGCTTCCTGTGGACACATTACAGTATCGCCTCCACCCTGACCTGCACCAGCCTGGCCCTCACGGTAGCCACCAGTTCTTTCCTTGGCCTCCTTCTATCCCGCCCCACCTTGCTGCTTCCCAGACAGAAGCAGTCCTGGGTTACTGCCTCAGACTGACCCTCTTTAATCATGGCACTGCCAGGATCTTCCAGGCCCAGTCAGCAGGGAGGAGCCAGCCCCTGACCCTGGGAACTTCCCTGGAAGTGGGAGGCTCTGCCATCAGGACTGTTGGTGGCTGCTGACGCCTGGGCATCTCTCCTGATTGCTCCAGGTGTACGCTATGATGCTCTGCGCCTTCCTGTGGTTTGCCATTCACTCCTACTGTGGCTTGGATCGCAAAGGCAGATATACCCTCACCCCACGGTAGGCCCCTCTCTCTCTAGAAGAGTCTTACAGCACCACAGGGTCCCAGTGTATCTATGCCTCCCACGGCAGATATGTTGTTACCCGTGCCCAGTAGGGCAGGTATGGCCTCCGTAGGAAGCCCTTTGGAAGTGTAAGGTAAAATGACATGCCCTCCTCTACTCTGCCCATTTCCAGTTTCTGATGAGACCTGACATCACCCTGCCACCAACACAGAGATAGGAAGATTCCAGCCCTGCCTCCCCACCCCCTGCGGCCCAGAGCCAGGCCAGGATAATTGGTCTTAAGGAACCCCAGGACTCCTCATTGATAGAATCAGGAAGGACCCAGTCCCAGCAGCCAGGAAAGCCCTTCTGTTCCCAGAATACTTAGACCCTGCTGTCAGCAAGCTCCATCCACCCATACACCAAGCGCTCTGACATCTGGATTCCTATACCCAGCATCTGCACTGGCCCTCTACGTTCTGAAAATAGCCAAGCCATTGCCTCCAGAGCACTCTGGGGCATGTTTATAAATGTTCGTATGTGTGCACAAATGAGTGTGTAGAGGCTGGAGGACAATACCTGTTGTTATCCTCAGGAATGCTGTCCTGCTCTGACATAGAGTCTCTCCCTGGCTTGGAGCTCACCAACTAAACTAGACCAGCTGGTTAGAGAGCCCTGAGAGCCTCTGTCTCTGCCTCCCCAATACTGGGATTACGAGCATGCCCCACCACACCTGGCATTTTTAGGGTTTTAGGAATCAAACTCGGGTCCTTGTGCTTGCAAAGCATTTTTTATATTCATTCATTTATAATTTATTTAATTGGCAGGAGGAGGGGCGTGTGTACATTCCACTGACTGAATTATACCCCAGTCCTTCTTACAGTACCTTCTAGAACATTCTGAAACAGCCTCACCACCACCATTCTGGGATGGACTTGCAGTCCCTTCTAGAATGTTCTACAACAGCCTCTTAGTCCCTATAGAACATTCTGGAACAGATTCCCCAGTTCTTTCTAGAACATGCAGAACAATTTCACTGTCCCCTTTTGCTTCTCAGAGCCCATGGCTGCCAGCCCCAGGAACCTAGCCTCTTCAGATGGACTAAAGACGGAGTGCCTCAATGCCCCTCTGAAGCATAAACATTTGCTAACTATTCGACATCCCTCTGAAGCACGGGTGTTTGCCGATCATCGGGTCTAGTAGGATGCTTGCTGCCTACTTGCCCACAGAGATGAAGACGTTGGTGCTGAGCCCTCCATGATCCACCTGGTGGGGCAAGGGAAGGGGAGGAGATTCTATCAGTGTGTTAGTTACTTTTACACTGTTGTGGCCAGACACCTACCAGAAACAGGAAGGATTAGAGATTCTGGTCCATCACAACAGGGAAGGCACGGAGCGGTGGCTGTGTCTACAGCAGCAGGATCAGAGGGTGGCAAATGCTGGAGGCTGGATGTTGAGGTAAACTAACTTGCTCTGGGTCATTGTGGAACAAAGGTGACTTTGGCTCCATAGTCCCAATAACAAAATACACAGAACCACATGGCAACAGCCAGGTTTTTGAAAATGGCCATGGGTCTGTTAATGCTCCTTAGTTTAGGGAGAAGAGGTCACCATATCCTCACCTGTGATTCCAACTACTGCTCCCTCCTGCCAAGGAAGTGTTAGGATCTTGGGAGATGCTGGAATGTGAAAAATTACCTGAAGCCAGGTCTCCATGATCCAGCATCCATGAGGTCATCACCCACCATGGTGGGGCTTTTTAGGGGATGACACTGTTTGGGGGTTACCCACGCTCCCTATAAGTAACTCCTCATCCCAAGAAATCCATTGGTTCAGGTTGAAACTTGGGTAGAATCCTTTCCATGCCCCATCAGGGGTGACCAGTTTCCTGTTCATGTTTCCCAGAAAAAAGTAATCGCAGAGAACAGGTGGAGTGGAACAAGGGGCAATGTCTTAGGGTTTCCATTGCTGTGAAGAGACACCATGACCACAGAGACTCTTAGAAAGGAAAACATTTAATTGGGGGCTGGCTTACAGTTCAGAGGTTTAGTCCATTATCACCATGCTGGGAAGCATGACATCATGCAGGCAGACATGGTGCTGGAGTGGTAGCTGGATTGGCAGGCAGCAGGAAGAGAGGGTGCCACTGGGCCTGGCTTGGGCATCTGAAACCTCAAAGTCAGCCTCCAGTGACACACTTCTTCCAATAAGGCCACACCTCCTAATAGTGCCACTCCCTATAAGCCTACAGGGCTGTTTTCATTCAAACAACCACAGACAGGTATAACCTTCAAAAGCCCACCCTTAATGACCTACTTCTGCTAACCAGACTCCAAGTCCTACAGGCTCCACAATAGCACCAGAAGCTGGGGATAGAACATTCAGAATATGAGCCTGTGGGAGAGGTTTCAGAGCAAACCCATGACACAGAGCAAGCATACATGAGCCTGTGGAAAACACCAGATTACAACTCTGACATCAGGTAAACAGCTCCATGCAGAACAGAGAGAAACACCTAGGGAGATTTGATGAGTCTGTGGACCAGGACAGAATAGGTCAGCACAGAGGAAACCAACACAGGGCAGGCCAGGAGCCCTGGTCAGATGTCCTGCACCTCCCACTTCCAGACACTGCTATGTTCATGTCCTGTGCTGTGAAGCAAGGAGCATCAACCTGGCAGCAATGTCTCTGTCTGTCACTGTGACAAAATGCCCGAGGGAGTCAACTTAAAGGAAGAAAGGGAGAAAAATCAACTTAAACCTGAAAAAGTCAACTTAATTTGACTCATGTTTTAAGAGGTCTCTGTCTATGGTCAGCTGGCTTCATTGTCTGGGGGTCTGAATGAGGCAGAACACAGCAGAGATGTGTACAGTAGAGTTAACACCCATGGTTAACACCAAGGAAGCAGAGAGAAGAGCCAAAGACAAAGAAAACCCTCTTTAAGGGCACCACCCAGGAACCTCTTCCTCAAAGGAAGCCTCATCTTCTAGCTTCCTTTTTAAAATGTCATTAAATTATAAACCTCTTCATGGATAATCACTTCCCAGAAGCCCAGAGACTGAGAACTGCTCTGGGGACCACGCCTGTGGGGTGTGTGTGTGTGTGTGTGTGTATGTGTGTGTGTGTGTGCGCGTGCGTGCACGCATCCATGTCCTCACAACAGCAACCTGAAGTTGCAGCAGGTTGTGGGTCAGAGCCCAGATGTGGGCAGGTTCTTTACATAACCTCTCATGAGGCAGGTTTGCTGGGCCCTACTCAAAGGCTTCTAGAAGCTCCCCAATCTGGGCTCACTCTGGCTGCTGGAAGAACCTAATTTATTGCAGCTGTGGGCTTGTGGGCCCTCTCTCCTCAGTGGCTGCCAGCTAGGACAACTTTCTGCTCTGTGAATTTGGTTCGCTCCCCTCCTCCAGCTCCTTCTTCAGACCCTAGCACAAGCTGAGCCTCCCTTTTGCTATGCAGTCTCTGGCTTCCAGCAGCTGGTGAAACTCTTTACTTTAAGGGCCACATGATGATCTTGTCTGAACAAGAATTCTTTCTTCTATTCCTGGTAAAATGCACTGTGCCTGACACTGGCCATTTGACCGCATTCAAGTGCACAACTCAGCAGAATTAACATCCACCCACACCATCCGCCTCCAGAACTTTCCATCTTCCCAGACCGAAACTCTGTCCCCATTCAACGCTGACTCCCTGCTCCCTCCCCAGCTCCTGGCTCCAGGTCCTGCTTGCTGCCTCTGTTGATTTGGTGAGCCTGAGGCCCTCCTGGGCATGACTATCTCACCACAGGGTTCCTCTGTGTTGCATGGTGAGGGAGACATCTTACCAAGTTAACCATGGCCTCATAATCACCTGCTGCGGGACTGTGACAGAGCAAGGTGGGGCACATAATCTAAAACTCCTCCTGTAGCCACTGTCACATGACAGTGCAGCCACCTCTATGGAGAATTATCACCTGCTCTTGAATATTCACATGATTTGTGAATATTCCCAAGGAGATACACTGACCCAGCCAAGGCTGAGACCCCAAATGCAGCCAAGGGAACATAAGAGATGAGATCCTGTCTCACACCCAGACCCAGAAAGCGAGGGTCCCCCCCAAATCAGAGTCACTCTGCAATTGGTCACCAACACATGAGGAAAGCCTGTTAAACCCCACCTTGTGTTTCAGATGCACACACTCCCTCCTTCCTACACATCCACTTCCTCAAATAAGAGGAGTTAAGCACCCCACATCTGAAAACATGCAAGGTTTTCTCCCTAGGGAGATTCCCCCAATGTCACAAGCATTTGGTTCCCTGAGACAGAAAGTTCAGGGTCTCTGGTGCAAGCAACTTCTTTGGTTCTATTCTTGCCACCTCACTCTACTTCATAAGAAATTAACACTAAAGAAAGCACAAATATTCAGGATGTTCTAGTACCAACCTGGGGAGGATAGGATGTATTTAGCTTACACTTCAGGTAACGGTCCATCATTAATGAAAGCCAACTCAGGAACTCAAGCAGGTCAGGAACCTGGAGGTGAGGACTCAGAGACCACATAGTAGCATCGCTTACTAGCTTGTGCTTCATGTCTTGCTCAGCCTGCTTTCTTTTACAACCCAGGGTGGCACTGCCCACAGTGGGCTGGACCCTCCCACATCATCATCAATCAAGACAACGCCAACACAGACTTGCCTACTGGGTAATCCTCAGTTGAATTCCCTCTTCCCAGATACGTCTAGGTTTGTGTAAAGTTGGCAAAAAAAAAAAAAAAAAAAAAAAAAAAAAAAAAAAAAAAAACTAACCAACACACAAGGCAAGATCCAGCACTCAAAGAGGCAGAGAAGGGGATTGTGAGTTTGAGACCAGCATGAACTTAATAGAAAGACTCTGTTTCAAAAAAAACAACAACACAAAAGAAGGGGGGGGGAAGGAAAGGCAGAAGTAAGGAGGGAAGGAGAAAGGATCCCATACACAATGGCGGTGGGAAGATGGCAAATAAAGAAGAAGAGAAAAAAAGAAGAAGAGTAAGATCTAGAGCCTGTAAAATGTACACAATATAGCATAAAATAATCCACAGATGCTGTAAGAGAACGATCATCCCTGCAGCTGCTCCCCAAGTCAGTGTGTGTGGCTCTAAACAGCCATGATTTGTCCTGTTTTCCCAGCTCTTCATTCCTAGGAGAATCTCTTCTTGACTCCTGTTGCCACTTCTTCCATCACTAACTGGGTGAGACAGGAGAGCTCAGACCACCAGAACCTGCCTAGAACAAGCATCATTATCCTGTTTCTTCATTAGAACACTACTCAGTCAGCACCCTTTAGGGTCTCCTAACCCAGCAGAAGAGAAGTCCGAAGTAGCCAGGTGCCACCACAGTTTCTAGCTCTGCAGTACACTCTGTTGGCTGACCAGAGTGTTCGTTTCCCTGTTGGCTACTGAGAGCTTTGACCCAGTGCAACGCCTTTGCAGGCATGAGGCAGAATTCCTAGGATGGTTCATTAGCTATCCTTATAAGAAGGATATAACCACACACCCATCCCTTAGGCTTCCGACCTAGGGGCTCTGGTTTTGGAAAAACAGCACTACACTGGTTACACATACCACATGCCACAGGAGGTTACACAGTTTTGCAATGGAATCTCCCAATGTGATCTTAAATGATACTTGAGAAGCGACCCACAATTCCACAAAATGTCCCTGATTGCTAGCTGAATAGCAACTTCAGTGAATCCAGGGCGGCCTTCCCATGATCTTGTACCTTTGGCTTTAAGGTTAGTCCTATAACCAGAAACAATTATACGGGTTGGATGCAGTTAAACTAAAATTTAATGTTAAGTGTCAAAGTTTGATCTCCCTTTTGAGGATTAAAAGGATACAAACTTAATCCGACAGTGGTGTTCAGAAACAGGCCCTCTAGGAACAAAGTGCAATAAACACATGCAGGCCTACTCGCTTGGTTGCTCTCAGCTAACTTCATCCTTCCTATTACTGCTCTGGACCATTTGCCTATGGAATGGTATTGGCTGCAGTGGCTGGGACTTTCCAAATCAATTAAAAACTGCGACAATTCCTCCACAGGCCAAGTTGATCTGATAATAGGCTCACAAGAATAAGGCCCCACAGATTTCTTCATGGCTTTACACTCATTCTGTCGCTTGC